AGGCGTGTCACGTTGGAGCCAGGTGTGGTGTGGGCGCGAGAATAGCTCCGCCGTTCATGGAGGCAACCGATGCGAGTCGACTGGTGTGTGTCGTCGTGGTTTCGTATCAAGAATACTCACTCACTCACTCACTCACTGATTCACGCCACGGGCAAAAGGCACGGGCGACGGCTTCCTCAGAAGCCGTCGTCCTCACCGTAGCCGTCGTCGGACCCCCAATGAGGGGGATAGTCGAATCCGCGAGCACCGTGGTGCTCGCCGAAAAGACCATCCCCATCCCACTCCCCCTCATCCCAACCCCCCCCCACCCGCGAGCCTACCCCGCCGATGGCCGGTGGGGCAGGAAACCCCGCCCCACCCACCATTGCGCAGCAGCGGTTCGAGGTCCTCGCTGAGCAGCAGAAGCCGCCCAGCCCGGACCTCGTCCCTCCACCCGTCCAATTCCCAGCACCGGCGTCACGTCCTTCCACTTAGCTAAGATAGGCGCCACAAGCGTGGGCGCTCATCTCAAGATACGCAGCTACACGTGTAGGCGCGAGCCTTACTCAAGATAAGCGCCCAGACACGAAGAGACACGTATATCTGGGCTACTGGACGCAGACGCGCATCCTCATGCGTGGGCGCTCATCTTGTGTCCTTCTTGAAGGCGTAGAGGTGCTCGCAAGTCGAGAAGTAGACCACGCCGTCGCCGATGGCTGGCGCGCCTTGGATGCCGCTCTGGGTCTGAAAGGAGCTCAGGATCGTGCCAGTCTTCCCGTCGACTGCATACACGTACCCACCCCACCAGCCAAAGTAGACGGTGCCATCAGCGCCGACTGCGGCGTTGTTGAACGTGTCTGGAACGCAGCTGGCCGCACCCATGGTCGGATTCTCGTGCGTGGGCGTCTGCCAAAGAATCGCCCCCGTGCTCGCGTTGAGGGCGGTCATATTGCCCTTGTGGCCCGGCGTCATCACATTGGACGTCGAGAATCCGAGCAGACCCACGTAGACCCGGCCGTGGGCGATGGCGGGAGCGCCTCA